ATTCAAGAATGCCTATAATTCTATCAGGGATAGTATTCCTATAGCTTTTTCTTTTAAACATGTGTGGCACAATAAGCAATCAATGCAGATTAAGCTTTTTCAGTGGAAGGTTTTAAAGCAAATTTTACCTATCACTGATAACTTGTCCAGATTCAAAAGGGTTTTGAATCCTTCCGTTTGTCCTTTCTGTAGATGTCAGGAGGACTCTATGAATCACATTCTCTTCTGGTGCCAAAAAGTGAGGCCCATTTGGGTTTATTTTATGGGAATTCTAGAAATTCCAGTACCTGCACAAATTGAGTCCATTAAGCAAATCTATATGGCATGGTGGTGAAAAGCAGGTAGTAAGAAGCGCAGTGATATTTTTAAACACAACTTGCCGGGGATTATAGGGTGGCATATCTGTAAAAACTACACATATCTTATTTGGGGTTCAAGGGATGCTAAAGCTACATCGGAGGTGGTTAGCAGTCAGATTAAGTTTTATACTCGCAATTGGGTTTCTAGCATGTCAGATTTGAAGATTGGGACAGTTGACAAGATCTTATATGATGAATATCTTATTCCTCAGAATTTTCGATTGAAAGACAGTCCGGTGAGGGCAATCAAATGGAGTAAACCGACAAAGAAGTTCAAACTTAATACTGATGCAAGTTTCTTACCTCTTCATGATGGAGGTGGAGCTATCATGAGGAATCGAGAGGGGGAAATGATTTTTGCTCTTTCATTCCTATGTTGGCATCCACAGCCTTGAAGGCAGAAATACTTGCAGCTCTAATGGCGGTTCGATGGGCACTTGATCATGGCTACACCGACTTTGAAGTGGAGATGGATTCAGCAGATGGGGTTCGCTTCTTGGTTTCTGATGAAGATGGCGCCGGTAGGTGGAAGGGCATGTTTTTGGAAATGATGCTTCGGTGCAAGGACAAGGGGATTTCCTTTTCGCATAGTTGGAGAGAATCCAATTGGGCCGCACATTACTTAGAGGATCAGGAATCGGCCCAACTGGAGTATTTTGATACTATTTTGGCGCTGCCCAACAGAGTGAGAGCAGCTGTTTATCTGGATTACTTTGGGATACTAGCACTCAGGCTTCGATGTAGTTGATTTTTGTTTTGTTGCTCTGTTTTATTTCAAGAGGTTTTGGCCTAGTCCCCCTCTAACTTGTATTCTATTATTTTTTTCCAATAAAACCTGGCAAATGTTCCTCGGCGTTTGCCCCACTGATTTTGGTGGTTTGCCTATCGGGTTAAAAAAAGCATGTAGTTCTAAGTAAGTTTTTGAGTCTTCTAAGTAGAGAAAACCTTACTAAGCATTCAAGAGATATCTAGCAAAAGAGAAAGTGCATGTTTAACTTTGCTCTCTGCTTAGACTCATGCTTCAGTAAACTTCCAAGTTAGAATTTCTCATTGCTATATTCTGGAAGTTTAGTGCTTAGTTGGAGACCAATTTTCTTGTAAATCATAAAACACTTGTAAACACTTAGAAGGATTTTGTTATTAAGTCCTAAGTGTGGATAGATAGATAGAGTACCTTTTGATCCCCACTGGATCAATTGAGAAAAGTCTAAGGATTGAGTAACTTGGAGTGGTGTGTACTCCTAAGTGAAACACCTTCAATCTAGTCGAGTTTGTTGTAAAGGCTAGATTGACAGTAAGTGTATTGAGCTTAATACTTTAGTGGAAATCCACCTAAAAGAGGGTGTGACTGGACGTAGGAGGATTACACCACCTCTGAACCAGGATATACTGTGTGTTGATTTAATTTCAGTCAACAAAGTACACACCCAACACTTCTCATTAAAGAAGTAATCTACCAGCAGTATCCTCAGCAGTAGCCTCATCTTACGCCACTGCTTAGCCTACTGCCTAATTACATACTTTCTTTGAGACATCTCTACATTGGAATAATCTTATAACATCATTACAAAGAAATTTGTTCAAACAAATTTCTGGGAATCACTCTAGAACTCGGCAGGTGCCTCAACAGTTCCCTGGTAACCACCCAACTGCTCAGGCCACTGCTCCCGTAAACTTCCACTTAAATTCAGCTGAGCACATTTCCAGAAAGCTCTCATCATTCTAAGTAACATTTTACAATCAGTTTTCTCATATCTTCATCTTTTATCAAGCAGTTGACTCAGCAGTTCCCTGGTGACCACCCAACTGCTCGGATCACTCCTCTCATAAACTTCCACTTCCAACACAGCTCAGAACATTACCAGAAAGCTCTCATCACTCTAAGTAAGATTCCATAAAAGTTTTGTCATAACTTCATCCTTCCTGAAGCAGTTGATTCTGCAGTTCCCTGCAGTTCACTCAGCTGCCCAGTCAACTGCTCACTCAAATAAGTCCATACTTCAGTCAAACACAGAAGGTCATTATACATTGTTTATTTAGAGGTCAAGACTTCCGCTGTGCATCTACAATCTTCCAAATAGACCTGTACAAAAACGGGTTCAGGCCGGGCTCGGGCCGGGCTTTTTATACATTTTATGCCCATCATGTGTGGGCGGGCCCGGCCCGGCCCGCAAAAACGGGCCTAACCCTATGTCCATACCCGCTCATAAGAGCAGGCCGGGTAGTCCACCGGGCCGCCCGACCTGGGAAAACTTTAATTTTTTCAAAATTATATGATTTTTTAAATACTTTAAAAATAATATTACAACATTTAAAAAATAATTAATACGCTTATAATGTTTATACGTCTTTCACCACATACAAAAAAATACTTACACAAAAATAATAATGAGAAATTATATCTAAAATTTAAAATTTAAGCACAAAGTATCATCTTTAAGTACAAAAATAGATATTATATTGGTTGGGCTAGTTGTTAAGAACTAAAAATTTAAATTCAAACATAATAAACTATGAATATGTATAAAGAAAAATTAGTAAATATAAATATACATGTGTATATGCAAATAAATAAATAAATTAGTATATATATATATAAATATATATTTATATATACTAAATGTAGCGGGCCGGGCTTATCGGCCCGAACGGGCCTACACCCTAACCCAAACCCGCCCATATCTTATTGCGGGCCAGGCTCGGGCCGGCCCGGTGGGTAAATATATATGCCCAAGCCCGCCCATTTGTGCGGGCGGGCTGGCCGGCCCGACCCGGTTTTGTCCAGGTCTACTTCCAAAATATTGTAGATCATCCTATCTAGTAGGGAAAACTTTTTAAAGTTGAAAAAAATTTTAAAAGTCTATTCACCCCCTCTAGACTTTTACCTCTATCAAGGACCATCACAAACTACAAACTATGCTCATGAATATTTATGTAATGAATATATTGTTTTGGGCTTGCGAGCCAACTTTTTGGCCATGTGTGGCCCATGAATGAATATTGAATATTTCCGCTATTCATTCGATCCAAATTTGTGATGTTGTTATGTATGTTTACTTACTGAGTATGTTATGGACTACATTATATTATATTATATTATATTATATTATATTATATTATATTATATTATATTATATTATATTATATTATATTATATTATATTATATTATATTATATTATATTATATTATATTATATTATATTATATTATATTATATTATATTATATTATATTATATTGTATTGTATTGTATTGTATTGTATTGTATTGTATTGTATTGTATTGTATTGTATTGTATTGTATTGTATTGTATTGTATTGTATTGTATTGTATTGTATTGTATTGTATTGTATTGTACTTCGTATTGTACTTCGTATTGTACTTCGTATTGTATTGTATTGTATTTATGGTATTGTATTGTATTGTATTGTATTGTATTGTATTGTATTGTATTGTATTGTATTGTATTGTATTGTATTGTATTGTATTGTATTGTATTGTATTGTATTGTACTTCGTATTGTACTTCGTATTGTACTTCGTATTGTATTGTATTGTATTGTATTGTATTGTATTGTATTGTATTGTATTGTATTGTATTGTATTGTATTGTATTGTATTGTATTGTATTGTATTGTATTGTATTGTACTTCGTATTGTACTTCGTATTGTATTGTATTGTATTGTATTGTATTGTATTGTATTGTATTGTATTGTATTGTATTGTATTGTATTGTATTGTATTGTATTGTATTGTATTGTATTGTACTTCGTATTGTACTTCGTTTTGTATCGTATTGTATTGTATTGTATTGTATTGTATTGTATTGTATTGTATTGTATTGTATTGTATTGTATTGTATTGTATTGTATTGTATTGTATTGTATTTGTGTATATATTAACGTGTGTGCCTACACACACGTTATTTAGAGTGTTATTTCATACGTTCCAATGTTAAATTATATTGTAAACTACGTGAAGTAAATATGCACTTATATCGTTACTTATTTATGCATCGCTTATTAACACATTTAATATTAAGCATGGTTTAGTATCTTTGAAAGTAAATATGTCTTTACTATTTGAAAAGGATTCATTAATAAAGTTTTTCTCGAAAAAAAGGAAAGTGACTTTTGTTCTTTCATTCGAAGGACTTTATTTATTTAAGAGTATGTTTGGTGTAACTAGCTTAAAAGATACTTTTATAAGCTTTTTAATAACTGTTAGCTTCTAGTGACTAAAAGATTTTAAAAATAAAATTTGGTAGCTGTTTGGTAAAAAGCTGACAATTTGATTTGGTTCGTTTCGATATACAAACTGTTAGAACTAATTAATACTAAAAGTCACTGGCTTTTCTTAGATACAACTCTATGTATCAATTCCAAAAAGATCTTTTAATTTTTGAAAATCTATTAAAAATTGTTATGCCAAACGTACAATTATAAGATTATTATACAATTATAATATTATTATGCCTGCTAAACATATCGTAAGTGTTTTGAGCAAGAGTTATTACTTGCTGCATCGGCCGATTTTAAGTCTTTTTTTTTTCTTCAAAATATGGAAAAATATATAGCGTTGATTTAACGCTAACAGGTAGTATAAATGCAAAAAATAATCGCAGCCGTCTTTGTTTGCTCAGATTCGAAAGGCTAGAGAGAGTATTAGAGAAGAGGGGGAGAACTGAGAAGAGAAAATGTCTCAGGGACAGGCGGAGGCAGAAAAGAAGCCAAACTCAACCCCGAACGCAGGCGGGGAACCTGGGGTTCACATTAACCTCAAAGTCAAAGGACAGGTTTTCTGTTCCCTCTCATCCCTTTTGCTCTTCTTTATATAGCGTCTTTGTGTATTTGGTTCTTAATTTAGGGTTTGTTCTTGGAGCATTCTAGGGTTGATAGTTTGATGTTGTATGTTTTGCGATGTGACTGTTTGATTTCATCTCATGAATCTGTCTGTCTTCAATTTGTGAACGCAATCCAAAGTAGCGAATCAATTTGAGGGTTAGGTTTGTGGCTTTGGGAGTTAGCCTAGGTCGATTACTAGCACTAATCCTTTTCGCATTATCGATAAATATTACAGCATTAGACAACTTAGGTTTAAGGGAATTGTGTGCCTCTGGAATTCCATGCAGTACACAGTTCAAATTAACGGTGAGATAGTTCAAATTAACGGTGAGATAGTTATTGATTCCAATGGTTCTACGAATTAAAAGCTTCTTTTGCAGGTTTGATGTTTTGTGTTTCTTTTCATTGAACTTTTGTAAAGGTCATTATAGATCTCATTTAGGGAATGATTTGGTGGATGAAGGGTTTTGTAGGGAAGGATTTGGAGTTCTTACTCTATCTCGATGACTAGGAAGTTTCTAAAAAATTGAAGGGTGCTTGAGAATTTTTACTATCGCACATTTTTTTAATTCCTTCAATCTGTATTAAATACTCTATGAAATTTATATCAAGATGTACATTTAGCCTACCAACACCCTACTCCTCCAAAGCCTCGCAGATCCCATCTCTTAAAGGCTTAAACTGACCTGTAGTTGTATAATACTTACCTCTTCTATAAAGAGTCTTGATTGTAACCCTGAAGTTAGCCCTGCAAATGGAACTCATTAGTCATTGTTTGGGATAAAGGTGGTGACATTTTAGAGGAATGATTGTGCACACTTCTTGCTTTCCATTTATTTGGTTGCAATTTCTTTGCTTATGATTTTTTTGGATGTTTTTTTAGCTGTTTGTCCTAATATCCATGCTATATTGACACTAACTCTTTGTTTTCATTGGTTCGGTTTGGTTGTCCATTCTTGCAATACAAAATGCATGTGGAATATAAGACAGTATTGGATCCTTTCCCTCTTGGTTTCTTCTTCCTGAACTTGCATCAAATTATCTGTGTTTCTATGTAGGATGGTAATGAAGTCTTCTTCAGGATTAAAAGGAGCACTCAACTAAAGAAGCTAATGAATGCATACTGTGACCGACAGTCTATTGAATTTACTTCAATAGCTTTCCTGTTTGATGGACGCCGTCTTCGAGCGGAGCAGACTCCAGATGAAGTCTCACTCTCCCTCCCCCTCCCACTCTCCTCCCTTTTCATTTGCATTTTATTTGCATTTCTGATACAAAATCAACCACAGGGTGACCAGAACAGACTGTGGGATCAGATAAATTTGCATGGTTACTCATTTTTATGCATTTTCTTTTGGTCCATTTGAAACCCAAAAAGCGCAAAAGAGAACAGAGAATATTTGGATGGAAATAAATTTGTTGGGAAATAAATATTACGGAGTACTAGGTTTTAGATCCAATGAGTAAATTTCAGATATTTGGTCAAAATTCATGATATAATATGCCTGCAATATATAAATTCTTAAAAAGGTTTAAGCAAATTTAATATTTGTTGTTATTTTTTATAATGAATGATAAAAATTCTTCTTTTTTGCCCCCTATCTGATGTCTCGTTTGAGTTCCAATCATTGCTGGACGCAATTCTCATTTTACTTTGTGCTATTTCAGCTAGAGATGGAAGATGGTGATGAAATAGATGCAATGCTTCATCAAACTGGGGGAACTTATAATCAATATTTTTTTTCTAGCTGAAGATAACTCTGTATCACTGTGTGGGCGAAGTTTAGCTTATTATTGTTATGCGTAGTGAATTGCCTAGGAGTGGGTTGCTATTTCATTAAACAGGATATGGTTTGCTCAAGTGGTCTGAGCTCTTTTGCCTTAAGCTTATGCCAAATTTCTTTTGAAAGTAGTAGGATCAACCTTTTGTTTTATCATCTACTACAAGAATCTTATAAGGTGCAGGATCTTTTGAAGTCCTCTTGTACAATACTGCGTTCTCCTTACCTACATGTTTTTTATATGATAATTTTTTGCTTGTTATATAGTTTTCGACAAAACCTTGCAGCCTTAGAGGTAGGGGTGGACTGTCTACATTGGACGCGGTCTTGGGACTGGCCGGTTTTCAAACTCTAGGACCCTAAAACTAGGTTTTGATATGCAATTTAGATCATCTTCAATCCAAAGGTATTGAAAGTGCACGTGTCTCAGGGATATAGATACAAAAAAATTAATGTCATTTCTTTTTTTCTTTTTACGCATGTTTATTTTTGGCTACTTTTGACATAAATGCTTATGTCAAAATCTGGATAGTGTGATATTATCATAATATTATCAGCAGAAAGAAACTAAAAACTCACACTTGTTACATCAAAGAGAGTAATGCCTTTTGTCAATTTTATTGTCTCTTGACATGTTCAAATTCAAGAATTTTTGCATTGTAGTTGCTTTAAGATTGGCCTGTTGAGAAATTAGTTTAGGTTAGGGATGGACTCGGGCCGGGTGGCCCGACCCGGAACCGGCACTGTTCCGGCCTGGCCCGGCCTGACTCGGTGGCCCGGTCAGTGACCGGTACGGGTAGGCCCGGCCCGTGGGTTTTCCGGTCCGGGCTCGGGTCACCCAAAACAAGGCCTGACCCGGCCGGGCTTGGGCCCGGTTCGGGCCAAATTTTTTGTTTTTTTTTCAATTTTTTTTTAACTTTTCGGGTTGGGCTGGGTATTTTGGGCCATTTGGGGGTGGTTTGGGGGGTTGGGGGTGGGAGGGGGGTTAATTAGGAAGAGGAAAAAAAAATATATAATGGGCTTGGCCCGGCCCGGCCCGGCCCGGACCCGGTGGTTACCCGGGCCGGTCCTGGGTCCACCATTTCTGACCCACCGGCCTGCCCGGGCCTAGGCCTGGCCCGGACCCGGCCCGGACCCGAGTCCAACCCTAGTTTAGGTAGCTGGCCACAACTTTTTGGGTTGGGATTGGCTTAGGGATGAACTGAGATTGGGCTGGGATGGGTTTGGGCAATAAATTAAAAAAATATAGTGCAATCAGGCCTAAGACTAATCTGTGCTCGGCCGGGTCGGATCTAAAAAATGAGCCCGAAGCCCGCCCTTATTGTCACTGAGTCGGGACTAAATAGTGTCGGGACCTAGACATGGACCCGGTCCGGTCCTGGTTCTGGTTCGGAACCAGCCAGTCCCGGTTTTGAATACGGAGGACAGGAACTGACTCGGGTTACTACTCACCCGATTCTGGTTTGGTCTACCCGGTCGGTCCTGGTCCCGGTCTGGTCTATTTTGTTTTTAAATTATTGGAGAATAAAAAATGATGTATATTTATTATAAATAATACATTGTCACTTGTATCAATATCATATTTGAAAATTACATTTGAGAATACTTTAAAGTATATGAAGTCTTGACGTCGCCGCTTCCGGTGTCGGTTGTTGTTTCCTCCATGAAATGGTGGTCGGATGCGACGTTGACTTCTTATGTTATATGGCGGGTCTTCAACCAATCATGGAAGCAAACGAGTGTCTCGTCCCTCGAGAGATGAAACGTTCAATCTCGTTCTATAGTCAGTTAAAACGTTATCGAGTTTGCTAAACTCTTGTTCCTCAACAGATGTTGCCCCTATTTGTCATTTACCTTTCGATAGCCCCAAAGGATAACCTCTCGCAATCTCCTTTGATCGATTGCATTGGAGATTACCTATATCAACGGATCTCCTACCCCGGTCCATTGTCTTAAAAATGTTACAAAACATACAAATTACAATGTCAAGATTACAAATTACAAATTACAAAATATTAAAATTTAACAAGAATTAAAGTTTAAGAAGTACTACCATGTAAAAAATGTACGATGATTAAAATGTAACGAAAATAAAAAAATGTGACTAACTCATTGTAGTATTAAATAAAATGTAGAACTATGAAAATTTAACAACTACATATACAATTTAACAAAAAAATAAATTTTGTAGAACTAATTAAATATTTAAATCACTTAATTGCATCTAACATGAAATAAAATGTACCAACAATTAAAATGTGACTAACTAATTCAATGCAAGTAGTATTAACTAAGGTGTAGAAGTATTAATATTTAACAACTACTCCGTACAATTTAACAAAAAAATAGAATTTGAAGAACTAGTTAAATATTTAAATCACTTAATTGCAGGTACTATGAAATAAAATTTACCAACAATTCCTTGGGCTGTAATTCCTCCCAGACTAGACCAAATAAGACCAGACCAATTCAGACCAGACCAGACTTGGATAGTTATAAAAATACAAAGAAATCAGACCAGACCAGACCAGTTCAGACCAGACCAGTAAATTACAGTCCAAGTAAAAACATCCTAACTACTTAATGTGTAGAACTATTAAAATTTAACAACTATAATTTAACAAAAATGTATCTAAAACAACTACAATAACTACATTGCAAGTAAAATGCTTGTAAATGCAACTAAATAAATTTCTGACTATAATATATGTTATATATTATATATTTAATATATTTCAGACTAGGGAGTGGATCAGGTGAGAAGTGTCCTTAGGCTGAGAACTGCGAAGTTTAACTAATAGACTAAAAACACGAATTTTTAACCAATAAATCATAACTTATATATATATATATGTGTGTGTGTGTGTGTGTGTGTGTGTGTGTGTGTGTATTGTTGAGGTTAAGTACCGAATGACCCAAAGGTCTAACACAAACCTTGAATAGTCCTGCTTGTATTAACTCAAATAGTCCTGCTTGTATTAACGCAGTAATAATGATTACACGGAAATGACCGAACGGTAGTTACGGTCCAAAGACTATTACAAGAGCTAGAATGCAATATAAGCTTGTGAGTCAACAAATGCTAACCCTTACAATGAATTAAATGCTCCTATTTATACTAGATGGGGGTATGAGGTGCTCTAATATGATTGGTTGCCTCTCATGCCACTTGCTGCCCCCATGATCCAACATTAACTGCAGTCGGTTATTCGACAAATGTTCGTTCGGGATTAAGTCCAACTAAGCCATCAATCAGGAATAAGCTAATTACCCAAGTCTTAAATACACCCCGTTCGGGAAGTACCTGTTGGGTTCTATTTTATGGTGTTCAATCTAGTTAGTTATCTTTGTATTTGTGTAGTTATTAATTAATCGTGTAATACGGGCCACAAATGTGTATCAGCCCGTGGGCTTCCTTGTAACCCGTAAGTTAGCCAACTTCTCCTATAAAAGGAGGCTAACTTACGGGAACCCTAACTATCGATAGAGGCTTAGAGAAAAGAGGCGTAAAGATAGAGAGAGGGTTGCCGCTGCTCTCCTTCTCCAGGGAGAGCAGCGGCCAGTTTACACGGTATACCAGATTCGTATAATATCTACATATCTTTCTATCTGCTTCTTCTATAACTGCTATATTTGTTGTTTGTTAAGTATTCTGGGATTATCAATTGGTATCAGAGCCGAGGCGTGAAACAGGTTGAATGTATCTGCTATTTTCTTGGATCTAACGAAGAATGCTCTGCTTTTCTTCTCTTTTTCTTCATATAGAGTTTTGCTCCTTAATCTTGTTTGTGAACGAAAATCTGAAAAAAATTATACTGTTGGAATCGCCTCTCAAAACCGATTCTACAGCATATCTTCTTTTTCGTTTTCTGCAAATTTTCATTTTCGAAAAACTCTCATTGAAAACTCGAGTTTATGCTTTTTATGCCTGCAGAAACGATTTTGACTTGAAACAGATACAGGAGGGATCGCGACCTTCAGGGCTATTCAGAACAGTTTTCAGATTCTCAAAATTCGAAAGTTTTAAAAATCGAGAGTTTTTAAACTCGCAGTCATGAACTCGCGGTCTTCAACTCGATGTGTAAACTCGCGGTCTTCAACTCGATGTGTAAACTCGCGGTCTTCAACTCGATGTGTAAACTCGTTGTCTTCAACTCGATGTGTAAACTCGCGGTCTTCAACTCGATGCGTAAACTCGCAGTCTTCAACTCGATGCGTAAACTCGCGGTCTTCAACTCGAGTTTTAACCTCGAGTTCTGACCTCGAGTTTAAACCTCGAGTTCTGACCTCGAGTTTTAAACCTCGAGTTCTGACCTCGAGTTTTTAAACCTCGAGTTCTGACATCAAGTTTTAAACCTCGAGTTTTTAAAATTTGAGAGTTTTGGAATTGCGAGTTTTGGAATTTAGTTCGAGTTTTAGGAACTCGATGTTTTGGATTTCGACATTCTAAAAAATTTCATAATTTTCGGAATTTCTCGATGTTTTGAATCTTTCAAAGTTTGCAGTTTCTTGGAACTCATAATTCGAATCTTGACATCCTTTGCAGTTCATCGAAGCTTTACATTATAAGGATCTCTGAATGATTCCCTGCTTATATAAATGTTTCAGGAGTTTTCGATGTTCTGATGTTTTTCAAACAACAAGTTTTCGAGATTATGGGGTTTTTCGAAACTCCAAAGTTTTCGAGGTTCCAAACATTTTGAAATTCTGAAGATTTCGTCATTCTGAGGTCTGTTTTGCAGGAGGATTTCGTCATTACTCTTCAAGGCACACTTGAAATTAAAATCTCCAGATTTGGATTTCGAGTTTTTTTCCTTAGAATTTTGTTTAAATTCACCTACTCTCGAAATTCAACATCGAGAACCTCAACCTCGAAGATTTACCTCAAAAACTCAAAATTAGAGATTTTCTGCGACACCGCACTGTTTTGGCCATAACTTTTGACTCGGTGATCCGATTTGAGCAAACTTTTTTTTGTTGGAAAGCTAACGATGTCCAGGCCAAAACTTAGGCAAATCTGTTCAAATTCTTTCATTGTCAACCCTGAGGTCAAAACTTTTCTAAACTTCAATGTAAAGGTCTGAAAATCGTAGATAATTCAATCAACCTCGCGTCAACGGTCACCTTACAACAATCAACAATTAACTGCTGAAGCCTCCCCTGACTCATCAACATTATGTGATCATCAATATGCTGAAATTCTACATGATGAGTTCAGGAAACCGTCATGTGTGGTACTTGTTCAGATTGCTCCACACACAT